ATTATAAAATTAAGGACTAAAATCCACTAATTTTGTAAGATAAAATGTTAAATGTTGGTTTTAGCCAAAACAAAGTACCAACACCCTTACTAAATTGGTGAATGAAAAGTCCGGGTTAGGATTTTGGCCTTTAAACTTTAAAGCAATTTTGCTTAGGAATCTTGATCCCTAACTTCTATATTTCATACAACTTAGTTCTCATGTTTCTGATCTTTATAGTTTGATTTTAAAAGTTATTATTTCATCCAATTAAATCATTTTCTACATAGAGAATAAAAATTATGTGACAAGTATTGAAAGTTAGACTCAAATTTTGGAAGCTATGAAGCTTAACCCATTAAAACAAAAAAAAAAAAAGAAAAAAGAAAAAAAAAAAGAGAAAGTGAGTGACAAATACCAGAAATAGAATTTGTGCCGATGATCAAATTGTTCTCATGTTCACCCATTCGGCTTGATCGGAGAAGGAAGGATTGAATTGGATTGAAAGCGGGGATCGAGAAAAGTGGCGTCGACGAATGAGTATTTTTTGGCCAGAGACCAAGGGAAGCAGGGAGAGAAGCGCGCCTTTTTTTAAAAAAAATGATAATAATCTGACGTAAATATCAGGTCAACTGTTCACGTCAAATTGCGTAAATTAGTGGGACAAAATGATTATTTTCATATCATTTCTTTAAATTTATCCAATTATTAGTAATATTAAGGTAAAAATTTAACATTAATATTTATAAAACTTTAACTTATTCATTATTCAAATTCAGTTTAAAAGAAAAGCAAGTGATTTTTTTTTTTACAATTTTTATCGAAATATAGGTAGATTTGACAGAAAGATTAGACTAAGTGAATTTAAATTAGATCACTTTAGATTGTAGATTTATATAATTGGGTTATTTCGAATTTCAAAGTTAAAAAGGATAAGCTCATCGCTTACTTATATGAGTTTTAAATTTAGTTAGATAAATCTAATTTTTAAAAAAATTAAAATTGTAATTAAAATTTTTCAATGTTTTCTGTATTTTTCTTTCAAAAAATTTAATATTAATTAATTGTTTATTAAAAAATTGTTAAATTAATATTAAATCTAAATATCTAATAAATAATAATTATTTTATAATATTTATTTTATTTTATACTTAAAA